CGCACCGTTCTGGGTGAGTTTGGTGGAGCAGATGGCCGTGGCGATCTGGAAGCTGTCCCTGCTGCTGTCCCTGCCGCTGTCCTTGCCGGGGCCGAAGGTGGCCAGCCCGGGCAGGTTCCGGGCCACCGGCGCCTCCTTCTCGCGCTCCTCCAGCTCCGCTTTGGTGCAGGGCAGGCTCAGGTAACTCCGCGCCTCCTCCATTCTCTTGTTGTCACCCTGGCGGGGACAAAATTCTCATAGTTTTCATCTCTAAATTTCTAATTTGGGTCTCGAATTTTGATTTTGGTGTTCTAATATCTAATTTCACAGTTGTAATTTTCTAATTTCACGGTTTCTAATTTTTCAATCTCTAATTTCTATTTTTTAATCTCTAATTTCTAATTTCAGAGTTTCTGATTTTCTAATTTCTAATTTCAGTTCCCAATTTCATTTTGGGTTTCTAATTTTTTTAAACACTTTTCAATCCCTCTCACTGTTCACATTTSTAATTCCAGTGAATCAGCCGCCCACACCACAAACAATTAAATTATTTCCAAAAACCACCGAATTTGGGCGAGTTTTTCCCGACACACAAACAAAATTAATAAAAATTCTTTTTTAATTTTCTGCTGCTCGGAAGAACCATCCAGGGTGGAATTTTGGATGAGCTGAGCGCGAGGAACCTCAACTTTTTGAGTTTCTTTTTTACCTTGTAGACGATGAGGTTGTGTTTTCCGTCGCGCAGCGTCGTCCCGTCCGCGTTCATCAGCTTCACAAAGGCCACGCCGAACGCTCGCTCCGACCTGTCCCTGGCTGCACAAACAGGGAAAAGCTCCAGCGGGAATGGTATTATTCATAAATTAATAAATTTTAAATTTTTTTTTAGATTTTTAAAAATTAATTAATTAATTTTTTTATTTTAATTAAATTTTTAAAAGTTTATTCATTTCAAAAATTTATTATAATTTATTTTTTTTAATTCATTTTAATTGGTTTTTATTGATTTTTATTTATTTATCTTGCTTACATACTTATTTTACTTATTTCTATTTATTTCTACTTATTTTTATTTATTTTTATTTATTTCTATTTATTTCTATTTATTTTTATTTATATTTATATTTATTCATCTTTGTTTATTATTTTTACTAATTTTTATTCATTAATTATTTCCTTTCTTAAAATTTTTTTTTGTTTGCCATAGAACCAGGAATGAATAAACTGAGAGGAAAAAAAAAATTGCACAACCCTGGGAATGATCAGAAATGGGAATCCCAAACTCAGAGGGAGTGGAGGATCTCCTTTCCTGTACTCACACTCCTGGGACGAGCGGTGGCGGAAGGTGAACCTCAGGTGACACCGACTGACCTCCTCRATGGCGATGGCCACCTGAGGGGAAAACGGGAGAAAAAACAATGTTACCCAGGGAAAATGGAGAAAAAACATCGTTTTCCAGGGAAAATGGGAGAAAAACCAATGTTTTCCTGGGAAAACGGGAGAAAACAAACATTTTCCAAGGAAAACAGGAGAAAAACCAACATTTTCTAGGAAAAAATGAGAGAAAAACCAACTTTTTCTGGGGAAAAACCCCAACATTTCCCAGGGAAAATGGGAGWTAAAACAATGTTTCCCAGCAAAAACGGGAAAAAAACCAACATTTTCCAGGGAAAACGGGAGAAAAATAGTATTTTCTGGGGAAACTGGAGAAAAAACAATGTTTTCCRKGGAAAATGGGAGAAAAMCCAATGTTTCCCAGGAAAAATGGAGAAAAAACAATTCTCCATTGTTTCTCCTGGGAAAACAGGAGAAAAACCAACATTTTCCAAGGAAAAGGGGAGAAAACCCAACATTTTCTGGGGAAAATGGGAGAAAAAACAATGTTTTCCAGGGATAACAGCAGAAAAAACAACATTTTCCAGGGAAAACAGGAAAAAAACCCAACGTTTTTCCAAGGAAAAGGAAAGAAAACCAACGTTTTCTGGGGAAAACGACAGAAAACCCAACA